AACTTGTTTATTCTTATTGTATAAACTACATAACTGCTTACAACTATTAGTTTGTATTTCTTGTTAATTCAGATATATTACCATCAACTATAAATAATAGGCTTCTAAAGTAATATCTTCTACTTAAAGACACATGACAACTTCATTCTAATGGATTTCTAGGCCACAGAAGAATATATACAGACTAAATACTAATGTATCCCAATACTGCATGTAAAATGATTTCATCAATGGTTTAATAAAGTGTATTTTCAATATAAAAGTTACAATAAGTTCAATGACATTTTTCGAAATCCCGAACATCAATATTGCTTGTTGTTGATAGACTATAATCAGTATTCCATTGTTATCTTAGAGTAAAAGTTAATTTTCATGTGGGTAATATTTTATCGTATTTAATATTTGTAATCAATATTTTCTGTCCAATAAATGATTAAAGCTGTAATGAGCATTACCTTTACATGGAAATGTATGTGCTAAAGTGTTTACAAGTTAGCTTGTGCAAAAGTATCATTGAAATTTGCAAATGTATAACCTAAAAAAGTAAATAAAACTGGAAGAATAAATAAGACAACCCATCAGTGTTTAGCATGTTCTACACAATGATTAATCATAGCATTATGGTTCAATAAAAAAATTTTGTCCACTTCAATACATATAAGTGACATAATGTATATCAGAAAAAAATGAATTCCAGACTTGTAGAGCAAATGAATGTGTATTGAGCTTATGGCCTGCATGTTTGTTTATTTGTATGATCAATGTCAAGGAGAGCATGTAGCATGTAGGAGCAAACATATGTATATATATAAATTAATTCTTAAGTAAATAAATAAAAATATATATATGTATGTGCATTGTCATACTTACAACGTTTTTGTTAATCTGACTCTTCAAACTACAACTCTGATTTTTTATTTAGTACACAGAATGTATGCCTCATACCTTTTTTTTCCTGCCTGACTTCATTATATTTATCTTATTCTAAAATGTAACTTAAAAAAACAAATATTAAATTATAACAGATTTTTAAGTTGATGTATTTTTTTAAAAGTTGCATTGTGAATATGATAAATACTGTAGCCTTATCTTCCATTGTTACATAATATGCGAGAACCGGTCTGTACTTTACTGTTCGATACAATAGTACACACGATAAAAACGTGGCAAATTTGGGTTATCATAATTTGGATCGTGCATTTAATATACGTAGGAACGCAATAATGCAACTGGTGAAAAGGATCTTAGCACAGTGTTTGATAAGTCACCGAAGCAATGTTTTGTTGCAACTAGTAAATCTAAAAGAATTGTAAGGTGTATTAACAGTCACTGATAAGTCACAAACGGTTCACTAAATCTCTATACAGATCTCTAGGTAAGCCTCACTTAGAAAACTGTACTGTTTTAAGTTTTTACTTTTCTCAAGGGTGGGTGTGCAGGAACTGTCTTGAAAAACCAAACAGTCCCTTGCTGACCATATGTTATTATTAAATATTTATTGACAAATCAGTTCTCTGAGGCCAGTGCTGTGTCAAGTGAGATACAAGAACACAAATCTCAAGCAAATAACTCTCATCCTGACCATTAACTCCACCCCTGTTCACTCTTAACCAGTACAAAGTAACAACAATTGAATATGGGCCTGTTTTCTAAAAAAATCAAAATAAATTTTGTTTGTTTCTTACACTACACAGTTTAACACATGTATTCATGCAGTCTTTTTTTTTCTTTATGTCACATTACATGACATATACTGTACTTACGTATCTAGTAAAAATTAATGGATAACAAGTACTTAGTAATGAAATATTGTTTTGGGAACCACATACAGTAAATATGTTATTGCTGTCAGTTTCAAGTGGTAATCTCTAACAAAGCTAGATTTACTTGTACAAACATTAAACTTTTGGAAGGGATAATAAACATGCAAAACTGTTATGGTTTTTTTTATCCATCAGACCTGTATGCTTCTAAGAAACTGATTCTTTTATTCCATTAATGATTAATAGATTGAATGGTTTTGGTTTCTTTTACTCCTTTCCAATGGTGGAAGGAGCTGTTGAATCATGTTGGTTAGCTTTTTGCTGGTGAAAGATAAAAGTACAAAAAATATGATTCTGTAAATGTTAATATTGTAATAAAATAATCAACATCTTTTCCGGGATTATTTTAAAAAGTCTGAATACAGAGAAAGACACTGTATATTGAAGACAAACTTTTGTTATAACAAAAGAAAAAAATCTGAAGACTCGTGTAGAAATGCACCGAGATATCATTACATACAGTGTTGATAATATGCTTTAAAAATTGTGTACAAGAGATACAATATGTAAGTCAGTTATAAATTACTGACAAAAGTAAAACTAAGTTAACTGAACCTCTAGTAATTTAAATTTACCATTTATTTGTTATTCATCTTGTGACTTAATTAGAATATACAATATAGCAACTTGTTTTATCATATTTGTATGTATACATATACCAAAACCTAAAATCCATTACACAGTTAATCTTCTAACAAAACATTTTTGGTTTTCTGGCTTGAAAGCCTGAAGTGACTAACAAAGAAAACATTCTATGAACACATCAGTGTCTACTTAGTAATGTTTTTTGCACCTTATTTTTTAATAGTATGTATTTGTAGTTTTCAAATTATGTTTGTGTGTGTATTATTATCCTCTCACTGTTAAATACCATACTGTATTATTGAAGTAAAGAAACCAGAAACATAGCTAACAGTTAGTTTAATGTTAATGTCACACAATGAATGAGGCATGAAAATATACTTCAATTGATATATAATTATCCCAAAACAGGCATATTTCAAGCTTATTATGAAACATTATAATCCAAAATAAGGAACAGTTAAAAATTTTAATAAAGTATTTTTTCAGTATTAAAAACTAAGCTGTCCCATTTTTGTACCATACAACTAGGGAGTACCAAAAAAGGTTTTCATTTCTTACATCCAAGTTGGAGGAGGGAAGCTAAGTAATTTAAATAAAAAATTAATGATACATTTATTTTGATCTTTTTATGAAACATGATTTTTTAATGTGAACCACTTGAACTTAAGCCAAAACTAGGGCTTAAAAAAACTGTAATCATGATGTTTTAATTGCTTCCATTGTATATTAAAGATTTTACTAATGGAATTAGGTATAGTGTATGCTATAACATTTGAAAGGTTTGTTGATGTCAAGTTTTTAATATCTTCTTTTATAAACATAAATTAGTATGGTGATAAAAACCAGTAAGTCTTGGAAATACTATGGTACTGTTAAATGTGCATGTAAGAACGTTAAATGATTATTTAACAGCAGTATCTTAGACTGCCTCCTGAACCCATTATATAATGCTGTATTTGGAAGAGTTTAAATATTGTGTTTAAAATAAATGTTTCGAAGGTTGTCATTTGTTTTATCCCGTCATCATTACAGATAAGGATAAATTGTCTGAGAAAGAGTAACTGGCCAAAACAAAGTATACATCAAGTTTCAAGAATTTTCTTCATTCACCACAAACTGAAGAAGAAAACATCAAAGACCTGAATGTAGTTCATCCAGATAAAATTTGATTTCATATTAAGCCATGAAAATAGCTTATAGTAACTAAACAGAAAAAATACATGTATATTTTTTTCTTTTCATATAAATCCAGTTATTAACTAGCCTTTAATATAATGCTGATACTAAATAATATTTTCCAAACAGTGGTAGGCATTTTCTACAGAAAACGTGAGTAAAAGCCTCAATCTTAGCTCAGTGTACTGTGTATATTTTCATATGTTTTAAACAGATTAAAAAAATCAAATACATTGCATTAAATTACTCTAGTTTTTTATTTTTAAAAGAAATAACATGTAGTGTTCCTAAAATAGTTTTAAAAAAATGTTTTGGCTATGTTATTTTGGTGAGCAAAAAAGGGTTGACCTCTGTGGACCAATAGATCTTCAGCCACCTTGTCATTTCCTAAGTGCCCTAGAGCTGGGTGATTAGTGAAATTTTCTAATCAATTAACCATCAGGCTCATTAATAAATTATTCTAGCATATGACTTGAATATGCAAAATAATAAAAAAAAATAGTAATAATCATATGCATTAATTTCAATTAGACAATTACTTTTGTGAATCATTACACTAATCGATTAAACTGTACAACCTTGAATTCATTGAAAATAAAAATGAGAAATAATTATGGTAATACTTCAATTACTTGGATAGTTGGAATAATCAAAAATAAAACTGAAACACTAATTTCGATTAGTTGGTTATTTTCATGACATTAATTAACTTAATCATAATTTCAGTTAGTTGATTATTTTACCCAACACTCATTGACATAATCACTACTTGTAGATAATCAAGTTAACTGTCAAGTTCTATTTCTGTATTCTAGATTTAACTGTGGAAAACTAATTAAATCGAGTTTCATCTTCTCAATGATATGTACAAGTTATAACTGAACATGATGTTCAATTAAACTTTGTAAATTTCAAAGAATATGTTAGGCTGTTAAAAAGGAACATGCTTTAATAGCGATAACAAAGGTAATTTTTAGGACTAATTCTGTATCTCTTGTTTGTACATTTGTTAAATAGTAAAACATATAAATTTGCCTGATAATTATTTAGGTTATTTACGAATTATAATAAATATGGAATGTCTGGCATCAAGAGAAAATTTTACATGCTATGATCAGTATAAATGTAATAACTTGCATGGTAGTTTTCTTACTTAATATTGTAATTAATAGCTTATAAACATTGTGCTGGGTTGAGCCATGTTATGCTGTAGTCCAAATACAGGGCTAAGATACTTTTATTTTTCTTTATACAATTTTACAGTGAACATCGTATGAGATACTACAAGTACAATAGTATAGTGTCAAGCTGTGAAAAAATAAGAGAACCTAGCACAATATTTAGCCTAGTTAGAACCCAGTTAATAAATTAATTACGCTATTAATTAGATAACATATTGGGATAGACACTTTTTGAAGTTTTTACAATTTGTATAATGGAATTTAATTATATCAAACTGTAAAAAAGCTAGCTGGAGTACCTAGCCCATTTTTTTAGTTAGGCTACTACACTGGTATTAAACTTAAGTTAAAGTTAGATGAAACAGAATTTTAGATTGTATTCGAAAAGATCTGTTGGTTTTTGTTTATTTAACTTCAAAGTTCAAATAGGAAATAACTGTAAATACTATTAGTATTACTAATAGTTATGCGAAATAGTAGTACCAAAAGAGCTAAATTTAATGCATTTACTAAAAGAAATATGCCAAATAATGCATTTTCTTACTTCGTCATTAGTAACCGTAAATTTTAACCACAAACTCTAGACCCAACTGCATGTTTCACATTCAAAAACCAGCCCTCTAACGGATTCATTTAACTTTACTCGTTGGGCATTAAGTTTAATAATTAAAGAGCGGGCTTATATAGTTCATAGAATTTTACATTTTGATAAATGAATTAGGGCGAATGTCACAAATACTCAAATATTGGATTAAAATTCCATAATAACTTTCAAAATCAACAGAAACATCCGATAGTCTAAATTAGAGGTCGCTTTCAATTCATGACTAACTACGTATAAATCTTACCAAGAACGAAGGGCGAGGTAACGAAATACCATTTAGTGACTGAAAAATATCAGGTCAATTTTACAGTACACTAAAGTACAAAAATCATACGGAAATCAGAATATTTTCGAAGTTCAAAATAAGCAAAATCATTCTAAATTTCCTGCCCAATATTGAAATGATTAAAATGGGTTTATGGCATATAATTTGATGTCATTGTGCCGAAACTACGTGAAAACAAACACTCTTCCAGGGCGTCGTTTCGTCTCGCGTAAGTATCGTTTGCAGTTTTATTTTTAAGCTAGTGCTGGGAGTGGTGGTAAAGCCAAATTATTATACTAAATTATACTTTTCTGGACCTATCAATTTATAAAGACTATTAATATTATATGTAACATCTCCATTGATTTGCTCTCTAACTAGCTTAGTCCTATTTCTACTGTTCTAGGAAATAGAACTGTTCTCCGAATTTATAACCTTAATAAAAATGGAAGAACTGTTTGTGTCAAATTAAAAATTAATTCATTTTTTGTTGTTTTATATTAACCCATAATGATCATAATTTAAGTAAATCAGATTCTTCAAGTGATAGCTATTTTCGATATTTTGATACTTGAATTTAAATGAATCTGTAGGAACTTGACCAAAATTAAACTATAACGTATAAATATGTTATGTACAATGGGGACATTTTTGAAGCTTACCTGCAAGTATCATAAGTTATGATGCATAGCTTGATTTCCAGGCGAAGCTGATGTAAATGATTCATTCTTTATTATATCATATTTGTATAATTTCTGAAACATGCAAGAATTGTTTGTTAAAAATATTTTTATTTAGTAATGTGACTTTCTTTTTATAATAATAATAAGAAACAAAAAAACAAATAGGCCTAAAATTAGTGAGAAAAATTACACTAACTGCTTTTTTTATAACATTCCTTTTAATTTATTCTGCAGATTCAAACTCTGATGGGCAAATTAAGAATATGTAAAAAAGCAATAAAAACTGCAGTTAATGTTATTTTTATTACAAATGTTAGGCCTATTTGGTTTTTAATGTTTCACCAACTTTCAACATTTAAACTGTAATTTTTAAAGAAGTAAGTTAAAAGCCAATTTTAAGACTTAATTAAAAGTTGCACCCACAAACTATATAGATATATGTATGTGTGTGTGTGTGTGTGCAATTATATATTATATATATATATGTGTGTGTGTGTGTTTGAAATACATGCATACAATTTCACTAGTAAAATCTTTCTAAGATTTGAGTTGATAAATATATATATATATATATAGATATGTGTGTCAGCTCAATTATATTTTTAAGACTGTTTTAGTGTATACATAGGAGAGTTAGTTTGTAACCTAAAGATAATTGTTTCAGGTACTACCAGAAGCACAAGTGCATTATGCCTCATCATCACTGTTGTGTCATTGGATGTAAAAGTGATAGCCGTTACACTATTCCTGATCCAGATGACACACCTCTTAAATTTTTTTGCATTCCAAGTGTAACAACAAAAAAGGATTTGCATGATAAATGGATGGAAATGATAAGAAGACCTGACCTGAGTGTTTCTCGAAACACACGAGTATGTTCTCGTCATTTTGTAGATGGTCGGCCAACTCTAGAAAATCCACTTCCTATTCAGAATCTCACACCTGCTTCAGAACATCAGATTTATTTAACCAGTTGCATTAACCCACACCAAACATTATTTGGAATAAATAACCAAGAAACATGCCTCAAAAAATATTATGTGGGAGAAAAATCAAAGAACATTTTGAATAAAGAAACTTCCCAGAAATCTGTTAATCCTCTAGCTGTAAAGAAACAAAAACTTGAAGTTAACTCTCGAGTAAACACTGATGACATCATATCAAATGAGATATATTTTGCGCAGCCAGTTTTGCATGAGTATAAGTCAACACAAACAAATTATTTTGTCAGACAGACATTGACAAAAAGTACTCAGACAGAAAAGGTTGAAAATGATGACTTAATGTGTTCACAAAGAAAATTGTATTCAAGTTCCAAATCCACACAGCCTACATTGCTACCTTTTATGCAGGTAAAACTACCAGTCCCTTTAACCATTACCTTTTTAAAAAATGATAGTATACAATTTCATTATTATACAGGGTTTAAAACCTATACAGATTTTCAAACATATTTTATAGAAGCTGCCTCAAAGCTAAATATTTTTAGCTTTCATCAAGATTGTAAAAATCAGAATGGTCATGAGTTTGATCAGACTAAAAGCAATAATCTGATTAAAGAACTCTCAACTTTATCACTAGAAAATGCTCTTTTATTGGCCCTGATGGTGAAGAATTTAAGTCTACAGTTTCATGATGTTGCCCATAAATTTCAAGTTTCTGTCTCAACAGTGCAGTATTTAATGGAAAAGTTGAGTCCCATTTTAAACAAAGAAGTTGAATAAAAGTGGAACATATGCATATGCTTACAGAATCACATCTTCTCAGTAAAATACTCCTGAAATTTTTTCACTGGAGAAGTGGCCTGTTTTACTTGAAGATAAATTTTAATCACAAATTGGCATCCTGCAATTAATGAAATTTCTCTTTAATAAATTGGATGTATTTCTTTGTGAACCATTGAAACTCCAAATATTACCATGATGAGTAATTATAGTGAAGACAGGATATTTTAAAATGCCCTGTATAGAACTACCATTTTTATAGTTATTTCTTTTGCTGTACAATTTTAAGTTGAAGCAACTTGGCTAATCTCAGTCTTATTCTTTATAAATGCCTTCAAAATTAGTACATCATCAGTGTATTATCACCAGTTTTATAATTTTAGCAATGTGTGACTTTAGGTATAGCATTGTTCTTATTTGGGTTATACTTTATTAAAAAAATTTAAAAAACCTTGTTGACCAAATTTAGGAATGACATTCTTGTAAACCCATAAAAAGATTTTATTACTTCTCTCATATGTTGGTATACAATGATGTATATGTGCAAGATGGTTGTAATGCAAAGTAATGAATTCAAGCAGTTTTTAATATATATATACTTAGAGTTGCAGTACGTCAATTATATATTTATTAAGCACTCAATTAGATTGCAGATGATAGTGTAGAGTAACGTTTATTTAGTATTGATATTTTGTGAATTGTTTTTGAATGACAGTAGTAGACATAGATTTGAATTATTTGAAATCTTACAAAAGTTTTGATACAAAAATACAAATCATGAAAGATTTACTGCTCTTTGATCTTTTACACGTCATGTTCATTCTTTTAGATATATTCTGTGTTGAATCGTATTTTGACAAATCGGACGTACCAATGATGAAAATGTTTGCACTTAGTTAACAAGTCATTAGGCATATACAAAATTAATCACAACACTTAATTTTTCAGTAGTTTTTAATATACCTAAAGTATTCGATTGGAGTTGATTACTTAAGGTACTTAACATTAACAAATATCCTGTGTATTGGTGAGAAACAAACACTGTGGCTTGATCAACCATAGAAAATTATTTATGCATTTCATAGCATCAGACTTTTGTATAGTTTCAGGTACTTAAAAAAATACTTTCCAGTTGGCATTTAATTATGAGTAATGTAATATAGTTTTGCCACATTTTGTTCCACAAGTCACCGATAATTTTGTTTAATACATGCAATGAAGTATGAATACCTCAAGTGATATTATAACCGAATACAATAAGATCTAGAATACATATCTAATGGATTCTTTAAAACAGTCCGATATGTTGGCAAAGACTTTTCAGGAAACTGCAGAGTAAAGTAAGTTATTTTTATCTACATTTATATAATATTTATATTATTCATAAATCCAGCAGTAGGTTTTGAGTTTGTGTTTAAGTTACCAGTGTTTAGTTGGATAAAAAAATGTAAGTATATTATTATTTATTCTTATTGATTTTTGTTTATCATTTTACATATGTAAGATGTTTTGTTAAAAAATAATGCAACATATTATTTATTTTTGTTTTATAATGTTGATATTTCATATATCTTTATTAGTAGTGTAATTAGTTTGTTTTGCATTTTACCATTTAAAATGAGCTAAAAGAGACATATGGTACAAATACAGTACTGAACCATAAGTACATTAGTCAAAAAACAGTAAATTGTACATTCTAAGACAGTTCAGGTATACTAAATATAGAATTATAAATAAATGAACAGGCCTATAGGAACAGAGGCAGCTAGAGAGGGGTCAGGCCCCACATTTTTCTTCCTAGGTCATGATTTTACTTATGCATCTTTTTAGCATGCATATGCAAATATGATATTATTTCTCTTAACTTCTAACAAGCGATTACATGCAAAATATATCAATAGAACATTTGTTTGTTGACAAAGGCATGCATTTCACACTTTTGCACAAAGTGCCAGGGATTAGCCCTCTACCTACAAAAATAATCCTATAGACCTACCATTACATGTGTATACAGCTGAAGAAAATCCCATTAATATTTTATTACCACGAGTTAATGCAGCAAATAAGTTAGTTAAATTCTTCATTTTGAACTGCATGTTTGTACCATCAGTTATTGACTTTACAGGACTGCTGATTGATCTAGCATTTGTTTAAAAATTAATTCTTCCAAATCATAACTGAACACATTTATTAATAATGTTAAAACAGAAGATATCCAATGGTATTATGTTAGCCAAGTTAATTTTTTAATTCACTTTTAAAACCTCTTATTTTGTGTCACCTTGATGGAGAAAAACTCAACTGTCAATAAGTGCAGACCAGTTCTCCATGTTATAAATGTTAATGCCACTGGAATAGTACATAATGCATTATAAAGACATATCGAAGAAGTGCCAAAAATAATCATTTTGACTATAACTCTTGTAATAATGCCTTTAAGAATAAAAGGTACAGAATCGCATACAGTTATAAGTAATTAGCTTAAAAATTACATTTTCTGTACATGTGAATTTATGTCATTGTAATAATGTACTGATAGCTGTGCATGTAATGTCTTATGTGGTTCATTCAGTATCAAAATCAAGCAAGACACATTGACGTTATTATAGCACATGTTCGTGCCATGGATCCACAAACTTTGAGATAGGGAAGGCTTTTTAAGAAAGTATGAAAATTTGTAATTTTTGATGATCTTGAGAGAAAGAAGACACTTTAAAAATGCTTCATTGTGAAGGAGTACTTTGTTAGCATTTTTTTAAAATACTTTTGAGGGTAAGAAAATACATCCGTTAGAAATATTTTAATGGATATAATATTTGGTGGCTGATTTCACTCAAGTCAGACAAATGTTAATTTTGTATCAGGGTAGTTTTTAGCCATGGCGTAGCAATACATAGAATGGCTATGAGTTGTTTTTTCTTTCAAATACAAACTTTTAGCTCATAGCTCTGTCATCTCTTGATCGATTTGGGATCTAATTACAGTTTTGGACTCAGGAGGTCAAACCTGTTTGATTGATGTATTTGACCATGCCCGAGGTCTCATAGATTAATTTACTCTAATCCTGCCTAAAAGAGATCCTGATGAGTAATAAAATTGAATCGGGTATACAGGTGGCACACAAAAATATAGCTAATAAAAAGGTGTCATAGATTATTCAAGGATTCCTTTTGTTTTGTTTTTTATCTAAATAGATCCAGTTAGATGATATTTCATGAATGCAACATAACCACATTATAGCCTTATTTTTCTCTTGATTTAAAAGTTCTTCACTAATGAGTAATAATAAGCGCAGCTTTCTAAACATAAAAATGTTTTTTCATTTATACTTTTCATTTGTACTTTCACACTTTCTGATTACAATGCTAGAAATCAGGTTTCGATACCCATTGTGGGCAGAGCACTGATAGCCCACTGCATAACTTTTTTTAAAATAAAAACAAAAGCCTTGCTGTTAAAATGTATGATTTATGTTAAATATATTTTAACTAATGTGTAGTTAAACTAATCATTTGTAACTCATCAACAGATTTGATTAACAAGCTATTTTTGATTGTTTTAGAAGTTTTTATATTCACAATATTTGTTGAAAAATTGAAATTTTGTAATGTTTTTTATTAAAAAAACCTAAAACTAAGGTTTAAGCATATGGATAGATAATGCTAGTTTCTGAAGTTTAAGTTAGTTTTGTCTCATTTATTCACAAAATATATTAATTTTAATACTTCTAAAACTTCAAGTTTGTGTAATGTTATTTTTAATTAGACTTGAAATTTGTTTCAGTGCCATTAAATGTATAGAGTCATCCCTTTTCAATTTTCTGTGGCTGTAATACTTTACAAGATTCATTATTTAACATTAGCTATCTGTTGTGTTGACTAATGGTGACTGTTCAGTTATTTAATGGTGTTCACTGATCTTCAAGGTTTAATCATTGTGTGTTTGTTATTAACACATTTGATGATATTTTATGTATTTTTGGAAACTGAATGTAAAGAAGTCCCATGCCTATTTCATTGTATTTTATGCTAGCCATTAATAACTATTGTAAGTGGCTAACAGAGTTAAAACTAACTGATAGAACAGTGTAGGTGTTATTGAAATGAAAGAAAGGACTGTTGTGGGTTATAAAGGCAAGTTTTATTTTATTGAAGAGGAATTATATATGTCAATATTTATTTTTTCTGTATTTGAATGTAGTAGACATGTATGTTCTTTACTTTACAAAGCAAGATATCTTAGAGGTAAACTGGACATACTGTATTTGAGTAGGTATAAACTAAGTTACTGAAGTAATATTTAGAATGATCTATTTTCTTATACAAGTATGTATATGTAGAACTAATGGTTTGATCTTTCTATATGATGTTAACTCATGTATCTTTAAATATTGCTTCACTTAACACTTGTGCTTAGATAAATCAATCTATTGTTATTTCATTGGGTACAGTATGTGTTTGTGATTAAGATGATTATTTGATTAAATTTTACAAAGGAAAAGCTTTAAAATTCTCAGAAAAAAAATTATATTAGAATCAGTTTGGATACAACATCAGCACAAACTACGAACACAAGGTGCGTGAATGAAACTCGACTGATATTTATGACTGATAACAAAGCAGGTGTGTAAGTTAAAATTCTCAATTTGTTAGTTAATGCAGAGGCCAGGTTGAGATGCATTAGATCAAATTCTAGTCAAACATATAACATTTCTTGTATTAGAATACAACTAAGGAAAAGTGTTATAAGAACACATACTTCCAGTTAAGGTTAGTGTACTGTATATATTACACACCAGGTTTATCTTTCTCCATAGGCATAAGTACTTATTTAGCCTAACTACAAGTTGAAATTTGTATGCATATATGTACTTGGATTTATTAATACCATCACCAAATACAAACACTTGTGATTACAGCCCTACTAATTTATTGCTTTCTATACCTGTGTTCCTTTTCTCAATATACACACTGTTACGTATCTGCTCGTTTGATAATTTCCGGTATAAATTCTTTCCGAGGGACTTCAGTGATACAAGTCCTTTCTTAATTAAAACTAGTTTATTCTTTCTCGATACAATTTTGTAATACACAGAGTTTCCACAGTCACTTTAAACTTAACAACCTTTATAACACAGGCAATAAATCACAGTGATTCACACACTTTACTTACGGTGCCTACTGTTCGCTTGCCTCAATTATCTATCTCTTCAATCTATCTGCATATGTCGCTGGCTTTCTTTGCCAGGCTTATATACTAAAAAAGAGGGCATCTAGCAAATACTCAGAGAGTCGCAGGGTTCCTCGATAATTCTAGAAACTCCAGCATCACACGACTTCCACTGTCATAACAATACACTGTATGTGTCTATATATCTATATATTTATTTATTTATCACTGAAATGTGTATTTAAAGAAGGAGAGAGAACAGGAATGTTATTAATTAAAGGTATTCCCTTTAATTAGTTACTATTTGAGTATTAAATATTAATTACTTGTTAGTTTATATTCTTTTTTTCAGCTGCTCAACTGCTACCATCTTTAAGTGATTGTTAGAAGGACTGTATGTGGTGGAAAGAGCTAGGATTTGATCTTGGTTTTCCTTAATACAGCAGAACAAGTGGATACACACTTAATTTTCTTTCTAACAAGAAAAACCAGGATTGAACCCATTTAATCTTACCATAAATGCTTAGGTGGTATATCTTGATTGTAATCCCCAGGAAGAGTTGATGAAGTTTTTCATGATCCAGTAATGTTCAGTGGTGCACCCTCTCACAAAACAACCCAATTCTCCAGTATATGTACCATTATAGTGTAAGATTTGAACTACATTGGTTTAGTCTTGCTGTACAGATAATAGAAATAAAGCAGTGTGCATGCGTTTTGAGTCAGTTTCATTTGTTGCTTTGGTTGATGTATGGCTAGTATTGGAATCAGATGTGACATTAAAATGGTTTTCTGAGAACTTTATGACTTTTTCTTTGTAATATGTTCTATGAACTCTTGAAAGTGTGAATAATATTACTGTTCATTATTTACAAACTAACATAAGTCTGGTTGTTGTTGTTTTTGTATCAGTGTATTATCTTTTGAAAACCAGTAATTTTGTTGTAAAGGCAGTCATGATATGAAAATAAACAAAAAAAAATGCTATTAGCCAACAATGAAAGTAATTTATTATACAGGATGAATTCACTTGTTCTGTTTTAGTCCTAACATATTTCATTATTGATCATTATAAGCTTTATAATTTTTTTTTTAACTGGGAGCATCAAGTATTAATGACAGGTACCATGATACCTCAATATCTTTTAATGTACCATAGTAATTTTGTGGACATTTAACATGAAGTAAATTTATAATATAACTTCTCAGTTTACAAATTGAAACTCTTTTTTTTTAATAGGAAGTACAAATATGATTTTGGGGGCAAAGACTGACTATT